AAATAAGCTTAAAAACATGAAGCATAAATAAATAGAAATACATATTATTACTATATCAATTTAAATTGCAACTCAGAATCCTCTTAAACATACCTCTCAATGATATTGAACTCATATTTTAAAAATTCAACTACATTAAAAATGGCATACGTTACATTCTCTTAATTTATTATTTCCCAAATTGCTTCAGTATTGGAAGATGAAATTTGATGTCAATGTAAAAGAGTATAATAGCAAATAAAATTACAAAAAGTTTTTAAAATGAGTTATAAATTTTTTTTTGACAAGATGAAACAATTTTGGTTTTTTGATTTATTTTTTTTTAAAATACATGACCCGACCGGGTCCCTGGGTCACCGGATTTGGCTGGGTTTTGAACGGATCGATGTATAACCGGTCCAATACTTGACCCGAACCGGCCCGATGACCGGTTCGCCGGGTTCCAGGTTGATCCGATCGGGACTGTAACATCCTGTTGTACACCGGTATTGTTAACATTAATTATGATATTGAGCGCAGTTACAATCACGGCAATTCATTTATAAAAATGCGAGTAAATTTTTTCCGTTTATTACGCGAACATTTAAAACAATAAAAATGTAATAATTAAAAGTTGTGACCGTAACTGTAAACTCTTTGCGGAATACTTATTTAGACTACTTATATAACTTATTTTACTTACTATAAGTCACTAAGGGGTTCCCATAAACCCACTTAGCTAATTCCTTACTTTTACGTTTTCTACCTATCTGAACATGGTTCGGTCTTTATTTTTCTGCGGACAAACTGCATGATGCGCGCTCCTCATCTTCTAGCATGTTATTCTACACTCAATTACCTTTTAGGAAGCTATCACACGAGTTATTTAGAGCTCGTTTGCTCCGGATATCGCCGTTTGAAGTTGGACAAGCAAAGCTGCCAGCCAACCCTAAAACAGCTCCAAACATCCCTCACTAAGATAAATACTACAGAAAATTCACTCATCCAATTGCTCTCAAATTTTTATACAACAAAATACACACCTCAACCTTAATTTTGATATATCATACACCTAATTTTACCAAGAAAAGAAGCAGTAATAAATTTCCCAAAACCGGTCCAGAACTGCCACATGTGCAGTGAGCAAATGGGCAGTCTGTACTCTCTGCCTTTTCCAGGCCGACATTCAACCTAGAATTTTACCAAATTTTACAAACAGATAGAGGACATCTCAACCTTCAAAAAGGCGTATGGCATGTCCCTATTGGACCTTTGTGGAGGAAGATATGATCTCCCGAAGTTTGCCTAAATTATGCCAATTTCTAGAAATTTCGCTAGAGTTTCCTTTGTTTTTACAAAAATTCCCAAGTTTGCTAATGTAAACTAGGACCACAAATGTACCTAATAATCATTGGGTGACACACACAAGGACCAACAATGCCTTGGGGCACTTACAACCCATCACAATTTATTTTACACATATAAGATACTTATCAGTTTGCTTCCTTTATCAATACTTAGTAAGTTTCAATCATCAAAGTTCAATTGCATGCATTTACTACTCATACACATAATCATAATCTTAAAATAGGCCTATTGCTCTTTCATCATATTACATAAGCTTCAAATTACACAACCAAATACAATCTTTACAATTATCCAATTACAACATAATTCATAAATCTCCAAATGTCATAAACTACATGTATCTAGACTTAGGCAAAATAGCATGAACAATTGTGACCATGAATCTCAGCCTATCAACATATACAATGTTCATGCCCTAAGTCTAGCCTAGACCCAATGACCATCAAAATGCAAAATATAAAAAGTCCTCCAATGACTCATCCCACGGGCTTCTTGCCTGTCGCTCCTGTATCACTGCTACCTCCTGAAATAAAGCCCCCAACACGGGGTGAGATATACGAATATATCTCAGTAACCCAGAGGTTCTGGAGAAAACTCCGCCCAATGGCTCACTTTGATGCATATAAATAATATAAAATAACATATTGAAAAACGGGATATAGCAAGGGATTTAGAGAAACTTGGGAACATAGGGATACAAAATACGACGAAGCTGGAATGGTCGCTACCAATACCATGCAAAGCCTGCCTAATGGCTCGGCATATAAGCCTACGGGTCTCATCCAAGGCGTGTTCCAAGAACATCCAACCAAGGTACCCCTCCCATTCATATACACCCGAGACTTCCTAGTGTGCTCCTATCTGGATCACACACCACGACCCTAGCTCAACTAGAACTCCCCCTGGAGTGGAAGTCCGAAAAGCCCAAAGGCAAACTGTCTACTGGCCAGAGACTCGGTACCTATGTACCAACATACATACTAAATGCATGATCATGTTATTCTACATTACTTACATACATTTCCTACCATCACCCTCAACGGGCATGGTGGAACACACAAGGGGATCAAGCCCCAGTACCAAGAGGTTACCTTAATAAGCCTCTCCACTTAGCTCCAAAGCAGTATATTCTCCGAGCTCGTTACTCAACAGAAATGCCTACACAGAGGACATTCTCAATTACTTAAAACTCATACGAACACATGCAAGTTACCAATTATACAAGCATTGTTCCAATCACTTACCTCAATCTCACTTGGTCCAGGACCAAGGGCAATCCACCGACTCACGGTTCGGGGTTCAAATCAACATACGACAACCTACACCAACCATGTACGAATCATCAGTACACGACAATTCTATCAAAATACGAAAAATGTCAAAAACCTCCCCTACACCATGTAGGTCCGGCCCTAGTAGGCTTATTTTCCAATTTATTTTTCTAAATTTTCTTTCTCATTTTATTAGGCATCCTTAGGTTACCAAAAGTCCAATTCAAGTGCCACTTTTCATTTTACGTCTTTTAAACGTCGTTTTGCCTAATATTTCGCTCTAGGTCCAATGAACCACTCAACACCTTTAACTATTTTTCCATTAGTTTTCCAACCTTCCAACCACCACACAACCCATCTAATTACCATTTAATTACACAACACATCATCCAAACAATTTTTCAACATAAATCCCTCACTTTTCCTTAAATGGCTGAATTGCACCAAAGCAATTCCCAAGAGGTTTTCAATCCAATTTCATCATTCTATATCTCATACAATCCTATTATAACATCATACAACTACACAACAACTCCCAACACACTTCTAACAACAATCCCAAAAACACAAAGTCATGACAACCTCAAAAATTTTTATGTTAAAAATTCACATTTTTCATCAATAATTTTTATTGCATTTATGGTTCATACTCATCATTCTAAGACACATTCATGTACAAACATTTTTCATTTGAGCTCTCTAACATCACAAATCAACAACACCCCCCTTAGGGTTCATGAATAAAATCCGAAATTTAAACCATTGAAATGGTGAAGAAACTTACTCAAAAGCTAGGCACAAGGTTTCTCCAAGACATACCAAACCATTGGAGCACCAAACAACTCTATGAACACAAATCTAACACTATGAGCCGCGGCCTTGGGGAGGGGATTTCTCAAAATATGATGGGTTTCAAGGCTCAAGACCACCACCAATAGGTTTGGAAGGGGATTTCCAATAAGTTTCATGACAAATTTTGCTTGATTAGGTGGGGTATGGATGGAGTTAGAAGAGAAAGAAAGCTTGAAGCATTTCTTCCCCATCCATCCATGGAGGCCGCGGGTTCAAGGTGAGGGAGGAGAGAGAATGTGGTCTTTTTTTTGTGATGTCCAAGTGGCAAGTCCACTTAAGTGAGGTGGGCCCCACCGCCACCTCACGCGATTTCAAACTAATTCGAATTTTCCTCCTATTCCGCTAAACGTTCATAATTTCCTAAACTAATTAGAAACTCTAATTTTTAACATTAACCATTGTCTTTTATTTACCCTTGATAAGATGAATCCGGAGTTTTCCGGTCGTTCGGAGAAAATGTTGTTTTAAGCTGTTGCGCGCACCGTTGGCACGCTTCCCCAAACTTACTTATTTTCATCAAATTTTATCAGAAATCACATTCCTTAGTTCTATAAACCATTTATAACTTGTATTCAAAACCTAGAGCTCAAAACTTGATCGGCACGCTTTACGGTGCAACTGTACCGCAATATTTTTACCCGGTAAAAACATTATTCACTGAATTTTCTGAAACTTGCCTAACCACTCAATTTTTCGTTCTGAATCCATTTCCAGGGTTATTTTTATCATCGGAGACCTTCTACTCAATTTTTATCTTCCTAGGGTTGCGTGTTGGCTAATTACCGTTTTGCCCTTTCTTTGTATTTTGGCCTAATTCTCAGGATTTTCACTAATCCTTTCCTTTAATCCTCATTTAATACTTTAATATTTAATTTAGAATTGCGAGGTGTTATAAGGACTGGCCGGGTTTTACAACTATGGATTGGATATCTCATAAGAATTCAAAAATGAAAAAATAAACGAAGGGGAATATGTTTCTTATATCGCATGATAAAATTTGTCTCGTTAATAGGGGTATAAATTTATTATATATAATCATATAGAATAGGTCCAAACATTTAAAAAAGTCTATTTAAAAAATATGTCATATGCTTTCTTTTAGATGATGGATTTATAAGCCTACAAGTTAGTCAGTATTACATTATTTATTTTTAATAAAATAAATCATTATTTTAATTATTTTTAATAATAAAATAATATTATTAGGCAAACACTTTTATTTTTTAAATATAAGACAGATCAGACTTATAATTTGTACTTATACAAGACTAATAAATTAGGTCAAATCTAAAATATTTTACTCAAACTAAATTTATTTAAGCTAAAGTCTAGATTAGCCTAATCCATTATTCTTAATCTTCTGCAATATATAAAAAAAGTGGATGGAATCGGAGAACAGAGAAAGAGAAAATGAATTTTATTTGTTACATTAGATAATTTTTTATTTTATTATTATTATTATTTTTAGTTGAAATGAAGGCAGAAAGCCCAAAGTACATAATGAGAAACATAATTTGAAGCAGTGGTAAAATGTGACCCCACGGGACATATCCATCAACAACACTTCCAAGTTCCACCATTCCTACCCGTTTCCTTTGTGTGTCTGAGATTGTGAGTGTTTTGCTTTGCTGTCTTCAGCTCCGCATGGAGCTCTCATCTTCTTCAACTTCACTTCGTGTTCCTCCCACAATCCCCACATGGAAAAAATCCTCTTATTGTGTCAAAGTCTCCACTAAGGCCACCACCACACACAAGCTTTCTCCTTTGTTCTTAGGATTTTCCAAACACTTCCATTCAATTGTGCTATACCATGACCGAAGCTGCTCAAATCCTGTTCCAAAGAGACACCAGAGACCTAGTTCCATCATGGTGTGTTTGTTTCCCCATAAAAGTTCCAATTTTGTTTCGTTTACTTGTGTTTTATCAAGAAAAATTTGGTCGGTTTTGCTAAGCTATTCATGGTGAATTGAGAATGGTTAGGAAGGAAGGTTTTCATATTGCTGCTTCTTGCAATGTTTGGAATAATGGGGTGTTTTTCTATCTAATAAAAAAAATAAAAAATCACCAATGCCATTTCCTTTGATAATGTTCCACTTAGCTAGATGGATTTAATTGTACAGGAAAACCAGTGGTTGTGATTGGTTTTATAAAGCTGACATTTTTCTTCCTCTTTTTTTTTTGTTTTTTTAGTCCTTTTCATTTAGGGAATGTGCAATTGCAACTTAAAGATATTCTTTTCATTGAATGTAACTAGGTCTGGAAGGTTTGCTTCAATGATAGACACACAAAGATTCTAGGCTTTCCTAAGTCAAGTCATAATTGACAGCACGGAAGTTTAGCATTGAAGTTTGAACTCTGCTTGAATATTTAGCATTTATCAGAATTCAGAACTAAAGTACAATCAGATGTCTGAATGAATCAAATTTTAGATGGTTTGACTATGCAGTGATTAAAATTGAAATCTATTTATATAACAGAAGCAAAAGGTGAAAATGATGGTACTAAGAGGGCAGTCACAAAGGTAAAACCCATGTTGAGAGGCTGTTTATTGAGTGCGGTAATATGATCAGTATAGTGATAATGTAGGATGGCAGGAATACAAACAGAATGATGGCATGGACATGGAAAAAGTTATGTTATGAGCTTTGATGTTGACCATGGTAAAAATTGTTCAATGGGAGGAAGATTAATTCGAGTATAATGTGGTAATGGAACAATCAAAATAATGATGAGTGTTAGTGTGATGGAGGGCCTGGTTATGGTGGTTTGGATTATGTGTTGGCAAGGCAATGATGGTAAACTGGTCACTATGACAATTTAATGATGGAAGGTAACAGTAATAACATGCTGTGATGCTCATAATTATAGTAAAGTGGTCCAGTTGACACTAATAGCAGTCAGTAGCGAGGCACAGTGAGGTGCAAATAAAGAGGCAATGAAGATGAACTGACGAATGCTTTGTGGACTGGAATAGTGTTAGTGAATTCTGATTGTCCCAAAGTTAACTAGAGACAAGATACTAATTATATTCGATGATTATTGTAAAGAAATTGCCTCAAATGTACTTGGATAATTGAGCATTGAAAGTTTCACATTCAGCAGCAATTGCATCCATTGATTATTCCAATAGTTACTTCAATTTTGTTATAACTGACTTTATTTTGGTTAAAAAGACATTTTTTTTACCCTACTTTTGTTTTTGGTATGAAATTTGAGTCTGCTTTATCAGTTTAAATTGCAATGAATGCTGGCAGGCCTGCACTCAAGTTGGAGCTGCTGGATCTGATCGTCCATTTGCAGATAGAGTTTTAGATTTGAAAGATGCTTGCTGGAGATTTTTAAGGCCACATACTATACGTGGTACATCACTAGGCTCTGTGTGAGTAACTTTACAACTTGCAAGAATGTGCTTCTTTCAGCTTTGTGCCAAGTATACTTGACTGAAGTTCATTTTTACGCTTTGTATTTGCAGTGCTTTGGTGGCAAGAGCATTGATTGAAAACTCAAATATGATAAAGTGGTCTCTTTTGTTCAAAGCGTTTTCTGGTCTTTTTGCCCTGATTTGTGGGAATGGTTATATAGTTGGCATCAATCAAATCTATGACATTAGCATTGACAAGTATGATACAGAGATATACACAACTTTCTTATTACTTACCTTGTCTCTTGCTGTTTGCTTCTCTCTTTCTTTCCTTCCCTATGCATATTACACTATATTGTTTTTGAATCATGTTTAACTGCACAGTTATTTCATTTTAAGTTACTTTTTTATGGATCTGAAATTATTCCCATTGTTTTTAGTTAAATTTCTACCTATATATTTAGCTATCACTATTAGTCTAAGTTAGTTTTATATTCATTTTCAGGGTAAACAAACCTTATTTACCTATAGCTGCAGGAGATCTTTCTGTCCAATCTGCCTGGTTCTTGGTTATATTTTTTGCTGCAGCTGGCCTGTTGATTGTGGCATTGAACTTTGGGCCCTTTATTTTTTCTCTTTACACACTTGGCCTTTTCCTTGGTACTATCTATTCTGTTCCTCCGTTTAGAATGAAACGCTTTCCTGTTGCAGCATTTCTTATTATTGCTACGGTATGATTTATCCTCCTTTTCTCCCATTCTTTGCAGTACTAACAGCACTTTGTCAATTTCTATTTGAACATAAAATAGCCACTACAGGGATCACTTTTGAGCATTTTTTTTGGATGAATTCAGTTGGCTATTTAATTTAAAGTATCTATTGATATGGTTGAACAACATTGACGGAAGAGGCTTATGCAGGTACGGGGTTTCCTACTTAACTTTGGTGTGTACTATGCCACTAGAGCTGCCCTTGGACTTTCATTTGAGTGGAGGTGGGTTAGAGCTTATTATTTGTTGCTTTATATTTGTAATTGGTTAAGTTGAACATCTGGGCTCATTGGTGCCTGATGTTCAAATAGAGGTACACCATAGGCTACATAATTATAAAAGTGTGATTTTCAAACCAAGAAAATAATAGAACCAAAAGAATAAAATATCTAAAGTAGACTTGCCTAAAATGAGGGTACCAACTGTGACTGTTAAAACCAGGTGAGCAAACAGAAAATAGGGAGAAGAAATATGGAGATTCAATTTAACATGGTTCAACTAACAGTGAACTATATGCTTACATCCACTGGAGAAACAGAGAGAATACTCACTATGATTAATGAAGATTACAAGCAGCAGCTCAACACTCAAACCCCAATCCCAACCAAAATCCTCACTGTTATATAATATATATATATATATATATATATATATATATATATATATATATATATATATATATATAAAGAGAGAGAGAGATATATCAATATTGGCCTGGTTTCTTACCTTCCACCACATATTTACATGAAAAATCTGTGTTGGATCGCGCCGTAGGTTTCTCTGGTCGTATCACATGTCTGGCCACAATCCCATAATTAAATGCAAGCCACTTTATAACATTGACAATGTTAGGAGGGTGAAATCCACCTTTAAATGGTTGAGTTAGCCAATTCTACTGTTCATTTTAAATTGTGCTTCCCTAGAATAATTGAATAGTGCTTATAATGGAGTTAGCTTTTCATCCAATATTGTTCAAGTGTCCACCTATTATTTTGAGAACTTATCATATTTTTGTTGCTGTATCTTCTCTACCTGCAGCTCTCCTGTGGTTTTCATCACTACCTTTGTAACATTGTTTGCATTGGTAATTGCTATAACGAAAGATCTTCCAGATGTTGAAGGAGATCGCAAGTAAGTTTTGGGTCTAAGTTGGATAAGGGTTGCAGGTTTATTGATCTTATTTATCTGAGCTTCTGATATGCATTTGACTTCTATTTCACCATGTATGCATTTGTGTATGTATGTTTGTGTATTATATATATGTATGTACAATGCTTGCGTAAAGCATAATCAGCTTTTACCCTGTTTTTGGTGCTGTATCTAATATGGACTTGCATGTAATAACTGACTTCAGGTATCAGATATCAACCTTTGCTACAAAATTAGGAGTTCGTAACATTGCTTTCCTTGGTTCTGGAATTTTGCTGATAAATTATATTGTTTCCATATCGGCAGCAATTTATATGCCACAGGTGAATATATACTCGCGTTATCTCCGAGTCACTTACTCTTTATGTTTCCTTGCATGAAAACATAACCTTACGTAAGTTCTGGCACTGTTGACAGGCTTTTAGGCGTTGGTTACTGATACCAGCTCATATGATTTTTGCATTAAGCTTGATTTACCAGGTTTGTTAGTTGGATTAATAACTGTTAAGACTCATTCTAGTTTAAGTTTATTTTCATATATATATTTTTCATTTGTTCCCATTGCTTCCCCCCAGTCATCCTATTACTTTGGACAAAATATACATAGTTGATTATTTACTCTTGTATTAAATATTTTTTCAGTGAATGGGGTGGCTACTGAGTTCTGTGTTGTCTGGTATTTCTTCCGAGTATAATTAGGATACCTCTTAAAGATTATTAAATATAGCATTATATCAGTCCTTCATTAGTACTTTTTCTTGTGCTATTAAATTTTTTTATTTTATTGAGACAGTGTAGGGGGAGGGGGAGACTGGGGGAATAAAAGAAGATTTTGTCAAGAAAAAACGGGTAAACGGAAGAGGAGAATCAATCCTCCTAAAACAAAGACAAACTGAAAAAATAACAAGAAACCAGTGTGCAATTTTGCTCTTTTCCCCTTCTCTTCTAACGTAGACCATAGTATTTTCCTCCTGTAGTATTGTTGAGATTTCCGTCTATCCCATGCACTATGTATGCTTAATTGGGATCTAAGTTCTATGCGGAAGATACTTGTCTGGTGCTTTCTCATCTTTCAATTTCTTTTTCTTTCTTTTTTCCAAAATGCACAAATAAATTGTGAAATTGTAAAATGGCCATGACTCGTTTTCTTATATTTCAGGCACGGATATTAGAACAAGCAAATTATACCAAGGTAATATATTATCTCTCCTGCATAAAAATAATTATAGCAACTTATTCACTGTTTTCAAAACTCAGAATTTTTTGGACCTCGATTTTCATCTATTTTAACATAACAACTACAGGTGATATTAATCAGTTCAACTACTGATCAATACCACAAACTTCCTCATGTCACGTTAGTTAATTTTATAGTTACGTATCACAACTTATTGATTGGTTAAATTTTCGCGTTGTGGCACTAAACGAAGAGTTTTATTATATTTTAGGTCACATAATCATGCGGATTGGTTTTTAAAAGAATTTGCTTTGCTTTTTCTGGTAGTTTCACTTTTTTGGGGGGGTCTGTATAGAGACCAACATTTTGTCAATCAAATATCAAGTGTTTAATACTTTATCACTCTAGGTGGCAAAATATTGTGACCATTTTCTTATATCTAGATGCCATACTTGTGAATAGCCCTGCTTTAGTGCGCTATAGCGCAGTTGCGTTGCAGTGCAACGGCTGGCCGCCACAGACCGCACCGCGACGGTCAGGCGAAGTGTAGCGGATGTAGCGGCCGCTATTGCGGCTGAATCGCGGTGCTATTGCGCTGCTACAGTAGTTTCTGTAATAGTGTTCTCGTCGTAGAAGGAAGAGATTTACAACTTGGATACAAGTGAAAGTGAAGATGAAGATTTGGATGTTCATGATTTCAATTATGATTAGTTCCTTAAGTTCTTTGATTTTGACATTTCACTTAAGTGGTAGTTTGAATTTTGACTAATTTTGCCACTTTATTTTGTTGTGTTACATAATTTGATACTTTAATTCCTTCAATTTGCTTATGATTTGAATTTTAATATTTGAAATCATTTATGTTTGAGTTTGAGATCCTTCAAATTTATTTCTTATGTCACATTTTCATATTTTAAGTTTTATATTTGTGGAGTTTAGTATATCACTTGGATACACTTTGCACAGTAGCGTTGTAGTGCTATATGCTATAGCGCTATAGTAGTTTGGAGGGTCAGTCGCTACGCGCTCCGAGATTAATAAGTATGCTAGATGCCCACATCAATGATATAATTTGAAATATTTTTGTATAAAGGTTTCTAGGCACCATCTTTGATGGTCTAAGTGGTGAGTTTTTCATGTCTCATCTTTCTTTTTTCCACTTTTGCTTAAGCTGCTTTTGAAATGTCTGACTATATGCTGCAGGAAGCAATATCAGGATTCTATCGGTTCATATGGAATCTGTTCTATGCAGAGTATGCAATATTTCCTTTCATCTAGCAAACTGACATTTATCTTGGAAAAGGTGCAAACATGCACGGGTAGAGAGATTTCTTAGTTGTATCAAATTTTAAACTAGTAATATTATTGTATTTTTTTAAATTGAGTATTGTTGTATGTAATGTATGATAGCATTTCTTTGTAATTAGATGCAATGCAATGAGAACTGTATTCTTAGGGTTCAAATTTAATAAGGACTGAATGTTGTTGTACTTTTAATTAGGGTTCAACTTGGTATGTTAAAGTTCATAGACTTTGCAGTAGAACTATACATTTTTCATTTTTGCAATAATAAGGATTACATGCTGTAGAAAAGTAGAACTAGCAGATTTTTTTTTTACAATGGCTGATTGTTCCAAACCTTTGTGTCCTTAATAAAATACATACATTATATTTTATTAAGAGATGTAACCTATGCTCCTTATTTATGTTTGTCATAAACATTCCTACCGGGTCTACCCAAAGATAAATAAAAGCAAAAGGACTGGTATATTTATTGAAGAACTAGCTGTTTAAAGTTCATGTTTTTGTTTGGAACCCTCACTTACAATAATTGCCATCATATCGGGAGAAAAAGTGCAGGCGTGAGAAACTTAGTATAACTAAATATTGATAACCATCCATGGCTATGCCATGGAATTTGAGATTTGCCTGTTATGCTACCAACTACTGTAATTTCCATTTTTATCTAATACATTCTTCACCAGTTTTTTTCTCCACTCATGCGAATTCTCAAAGTACATCATAATATATTTTAGTGCAATTTTTTCATCATAATTCCATTTCACAAAATGGAGGAAGTTATTTATTATATACATTGCAATTTGCAAGTATCTAAATCTCAATCCAATCAGTGTGTGTTTCTCGGTGGATTTTAGCGACGGAACAAGCTTATTAAACATTTTGGTGTTGGTAACAATTTAGTGTGCCTCACCACCTGTATCATTTTATCTTTTTTCCCCTCTTATTATCATGTGAGATGAATAGAGTACATACTTTCAAGGATAGCACATAAGGGGTAAGCAATCCCCACTGAAATTTGCTGCATAACTGTATTACATATCATTAATGATTTGCAAGTTGCTATTGTTTCAATCTAGATTCTTTCTCCACATTTGGAACTAGAACATGCAAAGTTCTTTTGTTCCTCATTCACCACAAGACCTAAAAAAACTATATGGTTATTGGCATCAAAGTATAGCAAAAAGAAATCCTATTTCGTTTTCTCTACCCCAAGGACCACAACAGAAGTAACATCCCTTAATTGGCACTTCATCCTATGTGTTGTCAGTTCATACACTAGCTGCTTCAGGCACTACCACTCTTTATGAAAGGGTTTGAGAATCAGCTAAAGGAATTGGAAAAGGAACATGTGGGCTGAAGCGAGACAATGGTGGGATATGGGGTGATGGAGCTGCTGTTCTTGTTCTTGGAGACAAATTTTGCTGCTCCAGAATTAAAAGCTGAAGCTCTGCAGGGTAGTCCCTCATGCAACCAATTCTAGGACCAGCACCTGTTGTCCATTTGGTACTCAGGTGATAGGCCAACTGATATGATTTCATTCCTTTGTGTGAATCTATCCTCTTCATTATTTTTTCTTTTGGAATAGGATTTTCATCTTCTTCGCCTTTATCTTCAACAAACAAGTTTGATTTGGAAACCATGAAATCCTGCTCATCAATAAATGATTCTTCTGCTGTCTCATAACCACTTTCTGAAATTTCATCTGGGGATGGGCAATTTGGAGGATGTACTTGCTCTCCAAAAATGTCCAACACACTGTCTCTTTTTGGTATTTCAAGTCTAGCTATTTTTGACCCTAGTCTTCTGGACAATCTTGACAAGGGTGGTTGGGAGTTTGCATCAGCATCAGAATCCTCATTTCTCAAGTCAGGTAGCTCTTGGGCTAATGTGCTTGAACTTTCAGTTTCAACGTTTGGCTGTAACTTGGCCTCTGAAGAATTGCCTCGGAGGGGAAGATGCTTGCTCATTTTGTCAATGTCTTCTTCTTCATCAGGGTTTTTCTAAATATAAGAATATTACAATTAGCATTCCAGAAAGTTTTCTTTTCTGGATATAATGGAAACAAAAATTGGCTAATCTTCTAAGCATGATGTCATGACTAAAGTTAGCAGCTATCTATAAATATCCATCCCAAGCAAACTACTATGAGATAATAATAATAATAATCATGTATGAGAGCATATTTACGTTAATCTAGATGTTTAATTTTCTCCTGTCAACGTAAATGATGAATGAAAATCTGCATAGGCTATCTTGTAATGCAGCAAAGTCATCTTTTACCTTTACATCTGTAAGATCTACATTATTCTCCTGAAGGAATGACACGAATTCCTGGAAATTTTCTTCTGTTGGGAGATAATGCCCACTGTGAGGCCAAACTGCCTTTGGAGTTGAAAAAGTCTACTGTCAGTATGCCAAACAAGGGCAAATAGAAAGCATAGGAATACAATGTATTAATCTATTATGGAAATCTTGGGTTTATTTTCTTTTCGTACCTTAAGAAAACCATCCTCCACCACTAATCTACCAGCAGACAATGTGGCTCCACCTGCCAGGAAGCTTGAATGTTGAAATGTTCCCTTGTTCTTCTGCCCAACATAAAAAGTCTTGGATGTGCTAAGTACAAAAATCCACTTAGCATCACTTGTTGTTTCAACAGGTTTCCCACTCTGCTTGTAGAAGAGTCTCCCATTCTCAATAACTACTTCATAAGCCTTTCTTTCCTCCTGCAAGAGAAACAACTTGAAATTACTTTTTACATATTACTTGACAGTTAAGCTACCTAATAGCTCTGGGTTTTTCACAAAAGTTTTTTAAAAAATATCTCGCCTGCTCATAAATTAGTGTTTGACCAACCATCCCTCTTCCCCATGTGATTGATCCATAAATCACTCCTCATGAAATCCCATCCCAACTTGCGAGGGTAGGGGTGAGGAGGAAATTCTTGTATGCATCCTTATACTCTTATCATTATATTTTTGCAAAAAGAGTTGTTTGTTGGAGGCTCGCCGCCCATCATATGTGATTGACCCATCTCGATGAAAAAAAAAAGGTTGTATTAAAGGGAACAAGAAAACTCACTGGACCCAGATACTTGATGCATTGCTGCTGAAGCTTTGATCTAGGACATCTCTCAGGACTGACTTCCTTGCCTTCCCCAATATCAAGCCTACCCTTGTACATTGATGAATGTCCATCAGTTTGATTGAAAGTTACTTGTCAAAAAGAAACAGAATTCTTCATTAAGCTTTTAATCTTACCAATAGAAGAAAGGTTGATTGCTGTCACAGTGGAGCCATTTGACATAATAAAATTGAAGATTATGGCCATAGCGATGCCGAGGGTCAATCTGTTCCAAGTTGACAAAAAGTTAGAGAAACTAGCAGTTTAATTTGAACTTATAACACTTTAGCTATGAGACTTACTGCCTCTAACCAGTGCTGCAAAGCAAGTTTACGAGCCTTCCTATCCTTAGATAGACCCTTTCCAACCTATTAAACACACAGAATAAAAGAAAAACAAATTACTAGTCTTTCAACCAACAACATCAACATGTTATAATAAAAGTCATGTTAGAACTTACCTTAGCAGCTCTAGTTCTCGCCCTTGACCAACGGGAAACAGCAGTCTCTGGTTTCTCAATGTCAAAAAATGATATAGAACTGCGTTTAAGTTCAGCAAAATCCAAAGCCTTCCACCTATACATATGAATTTAATATATTAGCATAAACAATATCATGAACACCTTGAAGTTTGCTAGAGATTCCACATGCACATGAGATATAAAAGCCTTTTTTGTTCCTTTTTCTTTCAACTTAATTTGGCAGAACTGAACTAAACTTCTATACAAAAGATGATTAACTGTTTTTAATTAGCAGAGAACTGAACTAACCATCTCTGCTCTGCAAGAACTGCACAATCTGCAAGTTGCCTCCTTGTTCGGAAACTTTTGTAGACTTTCTGCAATGTCAATGCAGCTTGGTCTCTTTGTCTCCTTGGCTCCGGCAATGGCGAATAGAAGTTTATGTCGGACAAGTTACTATATGATCTTGACAAATGATCATAAGTGTCCCTATTTGGTTTAACAAATAAGTCATTTTCCGTATCTGCTGTAGGAGATCTGAAAGAAAGCATAGTCTCCAACTCCCGGCCATTAAAGCTAACTGATCCTTGAAGCATCATCTTCCCTGCACAATATGATTTATGTAAGTCATGTTTTGAGTCAGAACTACAAGAGATATAATAAAACCATTCATTTGTATCATAGCCTCTATGACCAAGGGATTAGAGTGTATCCTTGTCACCCCCATTCTTCTAATAAAAAGTTAAATTTTAGAGTAAATATCATTTTTGGTCCTCAACAAATTTCACGATGCCCGTTTTAGTCCCTAGCAAATAAAAAGGCCCATCGTGGTCCCTAAGAAATTCAAAATGGACCAATTTAGTTGAAATCGTGGTCCCTCACAAATTCAAAAAAGATCCATATTAGTCCCTAAAATGGGTTCATTTTGAATTTCTTAGGGACCACGATGGGCTTTTTTATTTGCTAGGGACTAAAACGGGTATCGTGAAATTTGCAGAGGACCAAAAAGGATATTTACTCTAAATTTTAATACAAGGTTTGTGGGTCTGGACATTGTTCAGGCTTCAAGACCAAATGACTCTATGTGAGGGGACGTGTTAAAAATGTAATATAACATTATTCATGTTATTTATCTAACTGCTTAAGTGTTTGGGAAAGTTGGTTCATGATTTGGAGAGTTGGTTCATGAGAAAGAGCATTGAAACTGCTCAGAAATTATGCTTTATATCTTCATACCCGAAATCTCAAGAGAAGCTTTCAGGGTACTCTCCAAATGAGCAAATGTATAAGTTTTTTTCCCATTAAATAAATTTTTTTAAATATTTCCTCAAATAATCCTGATCTTAATCAAAAAAAAATTATGGAGTTCATCAATCTACCTAGTAATTAAAACAGGCAAGAAGTTAAAAAGAAAGAAGAAAAAGTAGGAGAAAGGGGCGAGGCTTGGGAACTATGCTTAGTTTTATCTTATATGGTCGAGACATTAAGATCAGTCTTCAAATCATCACCTATAAAGGTTTTTATAAACATTTTCATAGACCCTTACTCTACGCATTCTTGGCCCTTTAGAAAGAGGAAGGAAACTGGCGCACAAATGGAACTAAATATTCCAAACATTTTTGTTTGCATTTCAAAATCTTCAGAGCAGGAAGAGCGGAAGGCACAGTTTGACAAAACTTTTGGCCTCATAAGCGTTAATCAGACTTTTTGTCTCAATGTCTCAGGCAAAAAACCAAAGCATACATTGAATTCTACCGGTCATTAAATGAAAGAAAACAAGTTTTTATCATAACTCCATGGAATTATAGTTTTACGAATTGGCACACAAAAGACTTGTCAAATTCTTCAGAGTTCAGAAAAAAAAAAAAGGAATCACCAGAAAGGATTTTACAGAATCCAAATAATGGAAGAGAATAAACAACCAAATCTTCAAATATTTGGTGAAGCAACACAACAATACATACATAAGATACGGTAATGATAACTCCCTGAACCCACATTTGTAAATATCGATGTCTGTGGATGTTGGGGAAGAAAAACATTTGAAACATTATCTTACACTACAAATTTCAGAAGCTAACAATGCAAGAGAAGAAAGGTTTAGGGACATTGTCATTGTTGGGATAAATAAATAACCAACAAGGAGAATAACAAGATTTTCCCCTTAAAGAAATAAATATATAAAAAACATAGAATGTCACGAACCCAGAAAACATGTTACCAACATTGCACATTCATTGTATTTGCCTAAAGGAGAGAAATCAAATGAAGGGCATGAAGGAACATACCTTAAAATGTGACAGTATGAATCAGAGGAAAAAAAAAGGCTCTAAGGGATGTTGGGCAGAGAGAAAGGCAGGTAGAGCCAGCAACAAACACAAGGGTAGAGAGAGAGAGAGAGAGAACGAATAGGAGGCACGAAGAAGGAAAAGCTTAACGTAATGGTGCCCGCAATAGGTTGGCTTCTATGCTATTCTTGCACCATCTTTTATATATAGAAATTGAATGAAAGGGACTTTAAGATTGAGAGGTGAATAATGACAAGGACATGGGAAAAAACAAAAAGGTGGGTTTGGACTTTGGACTGGAGTGAGAGATCCAAGGTGTACAACCACATGGGGTTTTTCTTTCTTCTAATAACTTGCATGGAACAGTTCATTCAATTTACTTTTCCTATATTTTCTATTTCATTTCTTTCGGAAAAAAAAAAAAAACAAAACTCTACATCCCCTAATTTTTTTGGGTACTTATTTTCATTTCTTTCTTACATTGATGTGACGACAGTGTTGTCGGTTTAATGTTTTGAGTTGAGCTTTAATTGATATGAATGATGCATCACCTGTAGTTAATATAATTATGGTTTTATTTCTCACCGTATAAGTTATTTATAAAGAACGTGTTAAGTTACTTGTTTCTAGTGTACCACATCATCATTTAATACATGACATGTTTGCAAAAGCCAATTTTAATTCTATATGTATATACAGGGATATGTTATTTTATCTACTATTTTTTCTGCCTACCTTTGCCTACTGTAACATTCCCGTCTCGAGCCGGTTCAATTAACATATATATGATACAAACAGAAACAGCGGAAGACTTAACTTATGAAAATACGAGCTAACTTTTTCTTTTTCTTTAATCATTTTTCACATGACATCACATTGCATACTTCTTCTAATTTAATTCTTATTTGATGGAGACGAAAATCAGACAGAGTAACCTCTGTAAATCGGACAACTGGGGATTTGCAAATCCAACTCTCAAGGTACCCTGATAAACAATTTATACAGTATATACTTTCAGACATACCCGATATCCATATAGGATCATATAATCATCCATGGGCGCATGCATAACTTGGCTCCGTGCCACTATATCTAACAACATGCAATCCAACACATAAACATAAACTGAATACTACATCATCATATCAACATGCCTGAATACTCAAATGTACATGCATCCAACTGAAAGACATGTACAAAACATATACAGGTCATATACAAAATAAAGGATCAGACATCATGATCACCAAATGAATAGAACACTATACAACAGTACATGTTCTCCAAAAATAACATCTATAATAAATAGTAGCCTCCGGCTACCCAGAACTCCATATCCTCATACTAGTACCTCTAGCCACGGGTAGTGTCCTTGTCTCATGAGGGCTCTTCAATTAACTGTGTTTCTGAAATCATATCCCCAAACAGGGTTAGAGACGAATCTCTAGTAAGCTCCAGGTTTATAGAGAACTCTCCATACCCTGGGCTCACTTCCTGCATGACAGTCAGATACATAATATCCAAAACATCATATATCATATTATACTGAACATATCTCGTATAACATATCATATAATCAAATATCATAACTAAACAAAGCATATACACAAATCTTATCAGAGACGTACGTAGTCATTCCCAAGGGATTACCCCAAGCGAAAATCAACGCACGTAACAAATATCATATACAAAAATCATCACAATAATCACATCAGAACAAAGTATTCCCAAGGGATTACCCCAAGCGAAAATCAACGCACGTAACAAATATCATATACAAAAATCATCACAATAATCACATCAGAGATGTACATAGTCATTCCCAAAGGATAACCCCAAGCAGAAATCAGCGTACATGTTCCCAAGGGAGGACCCCAAGCGGAACCAAAAACATATCAGAGATGTACACTATCAGTCCAGAGGGATGACCCCAAGCAGACATCAGTGCACATAGGATCAATGGCCAAAGATCATCACATAACAGAGTGTACACAATCAATCCCAAAGGAGGACCCCAAGCGGAAATCAGTACACATGTTCCCAAGGGAGGACCCCAAGCGGAAATCAGTACACATGTTCCCAAGGAAAGACCCCAAGCGGAACTCAACATATAACAGATATATACACAGTCAGTCCCAAGGGAGGATCCCAAGCGGACATCAGTGCATAAACAAATCAATGTCCAGAAATCATTACAGAAATCATATCGAAACATATCAAAGTAAACACATCAAAAGATATCAAAGTAAACACATCAAAACATATCAAATTAAACACATCAAAACATATCAAATTTAACACATCAAAACATATCATATCACATCATCATATAGCTCTATATGAATGCATCTATATCATATATCTCATACATATCATGCAACCTGACCACAGTCCGTACACTATGGTGGAACACAAAGTAGGAGCGAACCCCATAAACATAGAGCTTACCTCTCAAAGCTGTATAGATGGCCTACCCAACAACCGAGTTACCAAGCCTTCTCTGATGTAGGATCCTTAACAAGACTCTAAGGCGCACCTAGAATAGGGAATCCATACAAATATCAATAAAATGGTTCAAAGCCAAGTAGTTAACCAGACACACCATTTATTTATTTCATCTTTTACTTATCAAATATTTCTTAACTATTCATACATACGGTACTGTTTATCTCTACGGTACTATTCATGTATACGTCACTATTCACGTATACGGTACTATTCATATACGTCACTATTCAAAAATACGGTATCTCAATTTTTCCTAATACATTTTCGCCGTTAAAATCTTCATCTGAACACTTTTCTCAACATGAGTCAAGCCTCAATCAAGCTCTAACATGCTCAATCAAACCAAACTTTCAAAATAAAAACTTAAATTCAATCTTCCTCAAAACTCAAAGAAAACCAGGATTTCTCAACATAAACTCACCTAGAACGAAGGGGAAGGCTTACTTCAAGCTCCCATGGCTTCAAGCTCCATGAAAATCCCCATTATCCATGAAATCCAAAATCTTAGATGAGGAAGATTTGATTTCAAACTTCTATTTTCTTTCTCTCCGCCACTGTCGTCCGCGAGGAGAAATAAGAATGAATCGTAAGTTTTTTAGAAATTTCACTTATATAGGTCAAGTTAAATTCAACTGGGTAAAGGTTTATCTAACTACACACCTCCAGTCATTACCAAACTTTACCTAATGGACTATAATATTTTTCTAATCATATTTTTAACTTTACTTTCACTTTTCGGGTAACTTTGTTTACCCGCATTTTATCCCTTAACTGTCATTTTAACTCTCTTTTTCACCAAAGGTGACTTTATTTCTTTTACTTCTAATTATTCTTCAACATTAAATCCACAACTACTAGTAAGGGCTATTATACCTATAATCTTCTAACACCGTTAGATCAAAATCTCAAGAAGAGAGAGAAAGATAAATGTTAGTTAAGATTCTGATCTAATGATGTTTTAGAGTGGTAGGCAAAGGTAGGGAGAAAAAATGGTAGGTAGAATAATCTATCTCGTATATATAATAGAGTGGAAGCATACTATATACAGGGATAAACATTTCTACAGCCACTTTATATAAGGTTATCTATAGCCACCTCCAAAATTACGTCGTTTTGATTAATGAAGGGTGTTTCTGTAATTTTAGGTGAATTAATGAAATGTGTTTCCATAATTTTATTTATTTTTTTATCATATGTATTTTACTGGAACACCCTTCATTAATTCACCTAAAATTACAGAAACACCCTTCATTAATCAAAATGACGTAGTTTTTGGATAGCTGTAAATAACCTTATCTAAAGTGACTGTAAAAATATTATATATATATATATATATATAGTGTTGTTCAGATGTGAACACCAATGTCCAACAAAGGTGTTGGTAGATGTATTTACAGAGCAAGTGGAAGAAATTATTAACAATGATGGGTTCAACACCTCTGGCCAAAGTCCAATGGATAAACAACAAAAAGGTATGAGAATTTTGGGAATAAGGAGAGCTCTAAGGCTAAGATAAGCTTAGGAATGTTGTGTTTAAAGTGTCATCCCCTTGAATACTATGCATGTACTTATACAGACCTAGGGGAGCAATTATTATCGGAGTTATGGCCTTAGAATGGTTTCCCAAAAGATGATTGTGGGTATCAGAAAATGGGGGAAGGATCGTGGGTGTAGATCCACGACCCGGGCTGAAGGGCTGGAGCCCTAGCCAGAGGAGTCTTCCCCAAGCGGGAAGCCTGTTTTGGGCCCGAGCCCAATAACGAGATTTGACATCATACCCGAAAACATGTGTCATATGATTACCATCTTGATTTGGGTAGCTTAGTTGATATTAGTGATGCAACTCCTAAAGTTCTTAGTAAGTCATACATAATGGGAAAAGTTACTTGCTTTTCTGGTGCCATAATATTATCATTTAATAGTTTGTGGCATTAAGTAGTTATTGTTGGGTATAGCTCATCATTCGCAATCAGATAACAATCGTTCTTGTTGACGGGGTTAGCAGAAAGTCAATTGGAGTCCCGCTCCCTGGTGAGTGGGCGAGGGTCCGGGAGCAGCGTCTCTAAGCCCGTAGAGACCAGGTACTTTTGTGGGCCTATGATTTATTATAATTTTACTTTTATTAGTAGTTTGAGTTTGAGTCCATGAATAGATGTTGTTAAGATTTTTTAACCCTATTTATATTCTCTTGTAAATCAAATAACTTGTAACGAGTGGCATTGAGGTGAATATAGTACAAATAAGTTGGACGTAGCCTACATTGGATGAATCAGGATAAATTACCATATCAATCTCTCTTCCCTTTTCTCTTTTTTATTTTATCAATTTGTGTGATTATCGATTTTCAATAATTATAAATCCAACTTTTATTATTTGTAGATTTTTGGGTGTACTCTTACCCGATATCATCAAATTATGTTTACCACTTTAAATAGCTTAGTATATTATTAATACTATGGCTAATGTGATACATAGCTAATGGTATAAAATAAGAAAAATCATTGATCACTTGCTTTTTTTAATACGTAAAAATCTCTCTTAATATGTATATAGATTGACTCCCTTTCCTTTATGACTATGTGCACACATTATAAAAAAATATGATTAGACTTCTTAATTAGACTGCTTTTCAATAGTATCCCTTGCTTGGATCACTTGAGGTATATAGTGGGAAAGAAGAAAATTAACACCATTTTTATAAGTATACTTATTATTGTTAGCATTTTCCTTTTCGTATTAGTTTATTAATTCTTTTCATTTTATAAAAAATGCAAACATAGAACTTCTGGTCTGTCTTCTACGAATAAATCTTTGATACTACTGTTACATTCAAGTGGGTACAACATTTTTCTAATTTTGAAAAAAAATGCAATGTGGTGAAAAATATAAATTCGAAAAGTGTTAATTTTTTTTTTAAAAGTGGAAAAATATTATACCCACTTGTAGGGGTGTTAACTGGCCGAGTCGAGTCGAGCTTTGATCTTAACGGGTCAAGCCTGTATTTAAACGTGTCCGACTGGCCTTAGCCTATTACCTGTTACGAATATAATATTGGCCTGTGGCCTGGTTTATTTACAAAAAATAAAAGCCTGTGTGAAGCATGTCTTAGCCTGTTAGCATGTTAAAGAATAAAAATAAGAGAACATAATTTCACAAAAAATCAATTTCCAGATAGAAACCTTAGCTTCCAATTTGCAGCAATAATTTACAAAGTCTACAATAAATAAAAAAATTAAAGTGAGAGAAGGTAGATAACAGGTTATATTATCTTAGCCCATATAAAAAAAGTGCCAACAAAAATAAAAATAAAATAAATAAAATAAAAAATAAATTGACACAAACGAGCAGTGCACAGTGGAACGAATGAGTTTTTGTGGGTTTGTTTGTGTGAAGGAGGATGAAGGATAATATAGAACAGCACTAGTAATTTCATAAATATACATAAATTCAATATATATCCAAATAGCTTAATATAGAACAAAATCATTCAAAAAGTCTGTTAAACCAATAAAATGGGATGAAATAAA